CGGGCTGGCGCGCCGGGGGAGCCCGCCGCCGCGCCGCCCGGAGCGATGAGCGGGGAGGCGAGCGAGGGCATCACTTTCTCCGTGCCACCCTTCGGCCCCTTGGGCTTGTGCACCTTCGCCGAGGGCAGCGGCAGCCGGAGGGGAGGAGCGGCGGCGGCGACCGTGACCGCGGAGGGCGAAGAGCAGCAGCTGGCACCGCCGCCGCCGGGCAGCTTCTGGAACGTGGAGAACGCCGCCGGCCCTGGCACCAGCTGTCCAGCTGCCAGCTCCGCGGGCAGCGCCATTCGGAGCCGGGGCAACTCTGGTGGCGGGGGTGGCCGACGCACCACCGTGGCATATGTGATCAACGAAGCGAGCCAGGGGCAGCTGGTGGTGGCCGAGAGCGAGGCCCTGCAGAGCCTGCGGGAGGCGTGCGAGGCCGTGGGCGCCGCGCTGGAGACCCTGCATTTCGGGAAACTGGACTTCGGGGAAACCACGGTGCTGGACCGCTTTTACAACGCAGGTGCGTAGGAAACCCCTGGCCATCTTTTTTGTGACCGGTGGCCACATTTTCCCCTGTTGCCCTTTGGAATCCTTCCTCCCGACCGCCCCAAGCAGGAAGCACACTGGCTTGCTACTTATTTACTTCTTGCCCCACCTTGGGGACAGCGAGGAGGGACGTTTCGTGACGCTCCTCGTGGCGCTGGCCGCAGCTGGAAGAGAGAGAGAGTGTATGTGCTTGTGCAAGAGCTTGTGCGTGTTTGTGCGAGAGACCTGTTGAGCCGGCCAGCGCCGGGTGCAGGGGCCCTGCGGTCCCGTGTCCGTCCTGGAGGCTCCAATTCCTCCCCAGTACTAGACGTTGGTCCCGTACAGTCCCGGTCTATTCGGTGACTCGGTTTCGCTTCCGTTAGGTTTGCCCCAGGTTTTCCTTCAACCTGTTTTACTCTGGCTGCTTTAGCCAGCGTTCCCGTCATCTCTACCGAACCAAGTCATTCACATTTTCATGTCATGTCATGTCATGACCTTCCCAACTCATTTTACCTTCAGCCAGTTCTCATGGTTTGAATCTGCCATCGCTTACTACTTCCCCACGGGTTTCATTCACAAATTTGTGTTGGGCGTCTGAAGGGAGAATCAAGACCTGCTTTTTCATTCTCCAAGATACCAAGATGTGTGTTTCTTGGCCTGGGAATATTTGCAACTTTGTTGCAAATGCTGCTAAGCTATCTTGATAACTAAAATTGGATTGCCCATTAAAATGATTGCTAGTACTATCTATTAAAAAATGCCCCTTTCAACCTGTGCCAGATGTCTGGAAATGGTAAGGCCAAGTGCTGGGGTCTGAAGCAATGAATGGCCCGTTAGCAAATGTCAGGAAGAATAACATGTTATTGCAAAGAACCTTCAGTACCCTTACAATCAATATGGAGAGCATTTCGGATCTAGTTTTAGAATTGCAGGTGGGAAAGTTGATTTAATCGTGGTTTTGAAGAATTAAGGTCCTGTGCCAAAAAAGGACTTTCTTTTCCAAACCTGCTTTCAGTCTTTTCCTCTGCAGTCTCTTTGAAGCACCTGAAGTTGGCTTATGCCAGTTTTGGAATTCAGCCAAAGCTGACTATTTTAAGAACAAGAGAAGCTTCATGTAAGGAAGCCAGACTAAATAAACCCAGGCTTTCTGGACCGGGTTTATTTTGTACAGCCTTAGACTTCATAACTGAACATGAGTGTAATATATTATATCTTGCTTCTTGGGGTGGTTTGCTATAAAAGTTATATAAACATAACTTTCCTAAAAGTTAGAGCACCCTTATTTCGAGGTTCTCATTTGGAAACACAAAGGAAGCATATCAAAGATGTGGGCGAAAAGTGATGGGTGTACTTGAGCCTATTTTCATTGCAGTGAGAAGTGGTGGTGATTGCTACCCCCTCCTCTTTCTTTTTAAATAGGCCTCTACAGCCAATCTTAAACCTTAAGCTAATTAAAGCAAGTTTCCTAACAAGATTCACTTACTGTTTATCCTCCAGAGACTGCCTCTGGGACAAGGAGGGAGGAAGATTCCAAAGGTCCTGACATTTCAGTTGTATTTTATTTAATTCCCCAAAGCAGCCTGTGAAGGGAATACTTGTTACGCTTGTTAGGTGAGAAAAATGAGGGACACACCAGTTTGAGGGCACAGTAAGAATCCTAGGGGTACAGTGGTCAAGGGCTTGCCTGCTGACCTATAACAGACGGGCAGTTTGAACCCACCAGCCGCTCCATGGGAGAAAGCGGAGCAATTTGTTTCCCTAAAGATTCCAGCTGGAAACCATATGGGGCAGTTTTACTCTGTCCTGTAGGGTCACTATGATGCAGAATCAATTCGACAGCCCCAAGGTTTAAACGACATCTGCCGTCCGGTCAGATGGAGTAGGATTCCACCACAGGTGTCGTACCCTAAGATTACGGTTGGGCCATGTTGCCTGCACTGAGGTGGGCTCCTGTATTCCAAGAATCCTGGGAAGTGACTCATGTGGCAGGACCTTCTGAGCCATTGAGGTGCAGTAGGGAGCAGTAGGGAGGGCGTCCCTGGACAAGACCCTGGTGACTGGGCCTCTTCTGTCCCATTGCTTCCGGTAATCTACAAAGGCCCCATTTTGGCCTCAGCTGGTCTGGGTGACAGGAGCGCCGCGGCCTTTGTTCAGCATGAAGATGTGACAGCCAGGTGTTTGTGATCGGGTGTGTGTTTTCATCCATACTCTTTGTTTTTCTAAACTGAGGGCTGCAGAGTGTGATAATAGAACCGATCCCCTTCTGCCTTCTCAGACAAGGCTTGGTGCTCTCTGCCAGGGGTGGACAGGCTTTTTATCTCTGGAGGCTCAAACTGAACAGCAAACCCACTGACAGTGAGCCGATTGTGACGCACTGTGACCTTATAGGACAGAGTGGAACTGTCCCGTCGGCTCCCAAAGCTGTGAAGCAAACAGACTGCCTCATCTTTCTCCCACGGAGTGAGCTGGTGGGTTTGAACCACCAATCTTTTGGTTAACTGTCAAGCGTGTAACCACTGCAGCAGGGCTCCTTTGTCAAGACCCAGAGAGTACATATGTTAGCTTTTGTACTTCATAAGGTATTCCTCACAGCTACTCAACTCGGCTGTTCTGAGAGGCGCCGTAAATAAGACCAAAAAAAAAAAAAAAAAAGGCCAGTGCTATGTTTGAGTCAAACATTTGGAACTTAAATTTTCATGGGTGATAAAATATGACTCTTCTTTTGATCCCCAACCATTTGAAAATGTAAAAGTCATTCTTAGTTTATAGGTCATGCCAAAATGTGTCACCTGCTGGGTTGAGCCCGGCTGGGGTGGGGGTAGGAGGGGGTGGGGGGTGGAGGTGGGAGCACGCAGCCTGGTGGCCTTTGCTCTTCACCGCCTCCTCCTTGCAAGCTGAATCATTATGATATGGTGGGAGATGGAGCCTCTGAATGTTGCTCAATTCACGCTGACAGTTGAGTAAGGCCCTTCATCTTCTCAAATGGTGGTTCTTTGCCTGTAAAATTGACAGGGGGTGGAGGTCCGTGGGGAATTGCCCTCAGTTTACAAGCTTGCTTCACGTAGGCCTGGCACTGTACAAAGGCATGGAAGGCGCCACAGTGCTGGGACTGAGCATAGCAACAGGAGTTTCCTGGATCGTCTTTCTTGTGGAGCAAGTCACTAGAATTGCAGGAAGTAGTGGAGGGTCTGTGACGTTCTCTCTATCTCTGAAAGCCTGTACTTGAAAATTACAACATCATTCATATTGCTGAGAGGACTCTCTGCGCCCTGCCCACTCCCCTACAAGCTCTCAGTGGCTGGGAAGGCAGGCTGTATGTGGTAGGGTCCTTATGAGGGTCCATACAGAGTGAGTGGAGGTCCGAGGTCCTTGAACTTCTAGAATAAGATCGAAGGTGGAGTGAGTTTGAGGGTGCCACCCCAGAAGTGACCTCTGAAGCGAGTTTGCAGGGGACAAACGCAAGACATACTTGAACCCTGGATTTAGAAGGGAAACTGGTGCTGAAATAACTCAAAGCAACTAATAAGAACACGAGTCTTGGCTACATTTTCACAAAATGAAATGCTTCACACGAAAATATACCCTATTTTTGTATCAACCCGAAAACCCCAAAGCTGCTGACATCTGGTTGATTGAGTCATAGTGACCCTATGAGACAGCATGGACGTTGCCTTTCCCCTCCCCCCAAGGCCTTCCAGACTAATCTTCACATAGATCAGCTGGTGGGTGTGAAGCCTGAACTACTAACCTTTTGGTTAGCAGCTGGGCACTTGATCCTTTCGCCACCAGGGCGGCTCTTATCTTTGTAGACTGATGTATTTTACTAAGAATAAACTACCTTCTTTAATGATTTTCACTGCTTCTTCCCCATTTGATTTTTACTGAACTCTGTTCCTAATTACTTGACCGTCTCTTTCATCGCCATTCTGAGAAAACACTTCTGCTTTGTTGATGCTTCTATGGACGTTCTTCTTTACATATGTGAGAAACTCTGACTCGGATGGCAAACGCCAGGACAGCAACACCTCTTCCTAGTGCCCAGCTAAGAGGGGGCCGATCTTGTTACCGGTAGGTAGACCCCAGCTGACAAGGTCAAAAACAATCTCTTTTCATCCAGAGTCTCCCTTCTTGTGAGGGATAGCGAGGATGCTGTTGTTGAGTTGGTGTCCACTCGGTGAGCCCGTGTCTGACAGCACGAGTCCCAGTCCGGCACGGCCCTCACAGGGACGTGTGAGCCCCTTGCTGCAGCCCCTGTGCCAGTCCATCTCCTGGGGGGACTTCCTTTTTCACTGAGCCCCTTCGTTACTGCCATGCTGTTCTTCTCTGGGGCTGGCGCCCCCTGCCACCCTGTCCAAAGTGCAGGAGGGCTGTCTCGCCGTCCTCACTTCCAAGGGGCATTCTGGCTGTACTTCTTGAAGAGAGACGTGCTTGTTCTTAGGGCAGTCCACTGGACGCTCAAGCTAGAATTGCCTTTATTATTCTCCCATGAGAAAAATGATGAGAAAAATTGAAGCACAAAGGGCTGTAGTCATTCATTCATTCTTGTGAAACCAGTTAAGGTTGATAGCTGGAGCCTGGGGCACATTTGTCCTCAGGAATTGTATTATTGATGGCAGATTGTGGAGTCTGGGAGGACCAATGGGAAGCTTTGTTAACTCGATGTACTCCAATTCTGGGACCCATTCACTGTTTTAAACTTTGTTACTATGGAAACTTGTATTCCTGGAGCCCAACTTTGAATGCACCCTTTCCTGTGGAGGAATCAGTAGCTCTTGCTTTGATTTGCTATCGGAAGCACGTTGGTACGACGCAGGAGCAGGAGGTTCGATTGATGGTGGTGAGGCAGCGAACAAAGAAAGCCCAGGAGAGCTGAGGCTGCATGGGGAAAAGAGTGCTGGGGAGGATGCAGGTGGACGAGATGCCAGCGTGAGTTCCATTGAGGGACCTGGACCACCCCCTTGGACCAGCTCCTTGTCACTGCTGCCCTTTCCGCTC